TATTCCCATTCCAGGTGTTCCCATTCCCATTCCTGGTGTCCCCATTCCAATTCCTGGTGTCCTCAATCTGCTCCCAATGTTCCCGTTCCCATTCCAGGTGTTCCCATTCCCATTCCACGAATTCCCATTCCCATTCCAGGTCTTCCCATTCCAGTTCCTGCTGTCTTCATTCCAATTCCAGGTGTCCCCGTTCCCATTCCTGGTTTCCCCATTCCCATTCCTGGTGTCCCTAACCTGCTCCCAGTGTCTCCATCCCTCTCCCCGGTGTCCCCATTCCCAATTCAGGTGCCCCCATTGCCAGGTCCTGATGTCTCCATTCCCATTCCTCTTGTTCCCAGTCTACTCCCAATGTTCCCATTCCCATTCCAGGTGTTCCCATTCCCATTCCAGGGGTCCCCATTCCCATTCCCCCTGTCCCCATTCCCATTCCTGGTGTCCCCATTCCCATTCCTGGTGTCCCTAACCTACTCCCACTGTCTCCATCCCTCTCCCCGGTGTCCTAATTGCCAATCCAGGTGCCCCCATTCCCAGTTCCTGATCTCTCCATTCCCATTCCTGTTCTTCCCAGTCTGCTCCCAGTGTTCCCATTCCCATTCCAGGTGTTCCCATTCCCATTCCCCCTGTCCCCATTACCATTCCTGGTTCCCAGGGAGGAACTGCCGGATGCTGGAGGAGGAGCCAGAATTTATTGCCCAAAGCAGGAGATTTTCACACCAAAATTACGCCCCGGTGATGTCACCACTGTCCCTGTGATGTCACCAATGTCCCTGTGATGTCACCAATGTCCCTGTGATGTCATCGATGTCCCTGTGATGTCACCGCTGTCCCTGTGATGTCACCAATGTCCATGTGATGTCATCGATGTCCCCGTGATGTCACCACCGTCATTTCCCCTGCTGGTTTACCTTAAAACCAGCACACCAGGTCTGTGCCCAACGGGGGTCCCTGTGGATCATCCAACGCGGGTCCTCCCATGGCTGATGGAGTTGGAGCAGCGGCCGAAGCTCTTCCCGCAGTCGGGGCACTCGGGGCTTCCATTACTGGTGGGTCCGTTGGTGGGAGGTCAAGGAAGAGCTCTGCCTGAAGCTCTTCCCACACTCCCCACAGTGGAAGGGCCTCTCCCTGATGTGGAGGCGACGGTGGGTGTAGAGGGTGGAGCTGTCCCACCTTCCCTACACGTGTAGGGCTGTTCCCCAGTGTGGATGTGCTGGGGGCTGAGCAGCTTGGGGCTTGTGCTGAAGCTCTTCCCACATTGCAAGCACTTGTAGGGCCATTCCCTGGTGTGGATGCAACAGTGTTTGCAAAGGCTGGAGCTGTCCCTGAAGCTCTTCCCACACTCTGTACATGTGTAGGGCCTTCCCCACTGTGGATCATCTGGTGTCGGAGCAGGTCGGAGATCCGAGTGAAGCTCTTCCCACATTCCCCACACGTGTAGGGCCTTTCCCCACTGTGGATCATCTGGTGTGGGAGCAGGTGGGAGCTCCGAGTGAAGCTCTTCCCACATTCCTCACACATGTAGGACCTTTCCCCACTGTGGATCATCTGGTGTCGTAGCAGGTTGGAGCTGTGATTGAAGTTCTTCCCACACTCCGCACAGGTATAAGGCTGTTCCCCACTGTGGATGCGACAGTGCTTGCGGAGGTTGGAGCTGTGCCTGAAGCTCATCCCACACTCCCCACACGTGTAGGGCCGTTCCCCACTGTGGATGTGCAGGTGGGTGAGGAGGCTGGTGCTTGTCCTGAAGCTCTTCCCACATTCCAAACACCTGAAGGGCTTTTCCCTGCTGGGAGGCTGCTCAGGGACCACCAGCTCGCAGCTCCGCCTCAAGCTCCGGCCGCCTTCCCGGCACACGCTGGCTCTTTCCTCCTCGCAGCCCCCTGGGCTGGCTTTGCAGCCCCTCCTGCGGGGGCATCTCCGGCCCTTTTCCTCCCCGCTGCCTTCCTGCGCCGGGGAGCCCTTCAAAACGGCCTCTCCCACCAGGCTCTGCTGCCGGGATTTGTCCTCCGCGCTCTCCGGCCTCACCTCGGGGCCTGGGGCAGGAAGCAACAAGGACACGCAGGGGATTTACCTCCGGCCCACAGGGAAGCCCAAGGACATCCCCCCAACTCCGGCCCCGGCAGGACGGTCACAAAAGACCAACCCAAAGGGGCACTGACTTCCTCCTCACCTGCCTGGGGGGCCCGCGGCATCTTCCTCTTCCTCGCAGCCTCCTCCTCCATCCGCCCAAGCTTTGGGAAGCAGAAATCCTGATGGATGGGGGGGAAAAAGGGGGGGAGTGTGTTGCCCAAGTCCATCTCTGGAACTCACCGGGCATCCTGTGTCCCTGAAAACCTCCAAAACACCAACATTCAGCCCAGAAAAAAAAAAAAACAACAAGATTTGGGAAAAAAAACCAGCACAAACTCCGATCTGGAGCGGGTCCAGAGAAGAGCAACAAGGCTGGTGAAGGGACTGGAGCATAAGTCCTATGGGGAGAGGCTGAGGGAGCTGGGGTTGTTTAGCCTGGACAAGAGGAGGCTCAGAGATGACTCATCACCATCTATAACTACCTGAAGGGAAGTTCTAGCCAGGTGGGGGTTGGTCTCTTCTCTCAGGCACTCAGCAATAGGACAAGGGGGCACGGGCTTAAGCTCCGCCAGGGGAAATTTAAGTTGGATATCAGGAGAAAATTCTTTAGAGAGAGAGTAATCAGGCATTGGAATGGGCTGCCCAGAGAGGTGGTGGATTCACCATCCCTGGAGATTTTTAAACGCAGATTGGACATGGCACTGAGTGCCATGATCTAGTAAATGGACTGGATTTGGACCAAGGGTTGGACTGGATGATCTCGGAGGTCTTCTCCAACCCAATCGATTCTATGATTCTATGATTCTATGATTCTAACTCCCCGCAAATTTGCAAAAGATCAAGAGTCAGCAAAAAAAATACTCCAAAATATGAACATTCAGCTCAAAAAAACCCTCCCAGAGGTTTCCCCTCTCTGCTCTCTGCACCTTTACCTTCCGGGCTCTCCCCTCTCTGGGCTGCTGGGGGTCCCGCTTAGGGATGCCGGGGCTCTTGGGTGTCCCAGGGGTCCCTTCTCCCCTCACTCTCTGCTTCAGGGGGCCGGGTTCCCAGACATTCCCCCTCTCCGCCTTCTCCACTTTCTTGGCCTGGGGATCCCAGGGGTCCCCACTACCCAGGCTCCCCCTTCTCCGGGACCCCCCTTGCAGCCTCCCGGGGCTCCTCCCTCTCCCTGCTCCCCCCTCCAGCCTGCCGGGGGTCCCCCAGCTCCGCCATCGCCCCGCTCCACTCTCCACACTCCGGGGCTCCCGCCCTTCCTCCCCCAACCCCCGGCTCTCCCGAGGGCTCCCCAAACCCGCTGCCTCGGCTCCCTCCGGCTCCCCCGGACCAGCCCCCCCCGCCCACACCGGGCTCACAATGGAGCCGCCGGGGCCTCACCCACCAACACCAACCCCCAACAAGGGGGGGACCCGCAGCCCCCCGACCACCCACGGGGCTCTGCCCACAACCCACCCCGACACCGCCCCAAAACACCCACCGGGGACCCCCAACAGCCCCCCGGCACACAGCCCCGCACAAGGGCCGCCTGTGCCCGAGCCAACAAAACGCCCCCACAGCCGGGGGGACACCAGAGGCTGCCCCGGGGCAACGAGAGCAGGGAGTGGATCGGGCCCCGCACACGTGGCCGGGCTCTTCGGTCAGCCGGCCGGGATCGGGAACCAACAGCACGGCCCCGACCGCCGGGGAGGGGAGAAAAACAAGGGGTGAGCGCGTTGCCTTGGGAGTTTCTCCTGCCCAAGTCCATCCCTAGAACTCACCGGGCATCTTGTGCTCACAAAAACTCCCGGAACATAAAGATTCAGCCCAAAACCCCCTCCTAGAATTCCCCAGCTCTCCTCTCTGGGGTTAGGGGGGGTCCCCCCTGTCTGGCCTGATGGCACTTCTGCCTGCATTGGGGGTCCCCTCTCTCCGGGCTGCTGGGGGTCCCGCGGCTCCTGGGGGTTCCCACTCGCCGGGGTCCCCTTTAGTGTTGCCAGGGGGGTCCCAGGGCTCACTTCTCCCCACTCTGCCTCCCGGGGCCGGCCGGCCCTCCTCTCTCGCCTCCCACCCTCGCAAACCTCTTGGCGCTCTCGGCTCCCACCCCGCCTCAAGGCCCCCCCTCCTCTCCACACTCCAAGGCCTTCCCCCTCTCTGGGACCCCCCCCGATTAGGGGACCGGCCCCGCCTCGGCTCCCCCCCCGCCCTCAGCATTCCGGGGGTCCCCCAGCTCCGGATCTCCCTCTCTGCGCACTCCCCGCTCCCCACTCCGTGGCTACCGGGGTTTCCCCCCTGGCTCCTCACGGGGTGCCCCAAAACCGCTCTCGCCCCCCCGCCATTGCCGAGCCACCGCCAGGACCTTTGGGCTGCTCTTCTTTGTGCTCCCGCTCGGCTCCTCCCTCGGCTGGGCCGCCGCTTTTGGTGGGTTTCCTCCTCCGGGATCCACCCCCTGCAGCCCTTCCCCCCCTGGCCCAGCCCCCTTGCGCCCCCCATGGACCCCCCTTTCCCAAAAAGTCTGATTTTACAGACAAGCAATTGGTTTTAATCCACAAAACCCAAATGTAGAACCCAGCACCCTGGGCCATGAACAAAGTGCTGTTCCTTGCCTCCCCCCCGAGTCCAAAGTAAAAGGAGAGGAGAAAAAAACCTGTTGGTGGGAGAGCTGTTGCAGTCGGTCCAAAGTAGTGGTTGCAGTCCAGTTGAGGATGGTGGTCTCAGGCTGGTTGAGAGCGGTGAGCTGCAGTCCTCCTCTGGATCCCACGAGTGCTAAAAAAGTTCTGAAACTCCAGGTTTATATATTCTCCAGTTCAGGCAGGAATGCCCAGTCCTCCCCTCAGAGCGGGCAATTCCATAAAAGGATGCTTAGTTCTTCCCTCAGAGCGGGCAATTCCATAAAAGGCTATGAGGATGTTCAGTCCATAAAAGGGTATGAGGGTGCTCAGGACATCTCCCCCACCTCGCAGGCCTCTCCTGACAACAGTTCCTGGGAAAATGGCATGGAAGGCCAGAGAATCCACAGTTTTGGGCTACACCCATCCAGTGAGGAATCGGTCCCAGCTGTTCTAACTAGGACACTGTGTCCCTCATCGCTGCCATCATCATCATCATCGGCCTCCTGGGAGTCGGTGTCTGGAAGCTCCGATCCGGTAACTCCCGGGATGGGGGTCGGGAAGGGGCACGGATCCGCCCGGCAGCATTCCGGGGATCCTGTGCCACGGGTGCTGATCCCACTTTCTTTCCATAGGGAAGAGGGAGGGGAATGGATACGACCCCGCGCCCACCAGTGAGTCCCAGCAGCGTGTGTGGATCCAGATCCTCTGGGCAGGGATCCCAGGATGGATGCCGGGATTCCAGAGGGGAATGGGGGCCTAATGTCTGGAGCGGGATTGGAAGGGGATTCCAGCTCAGGGCAGGATTCCAGAGTGGGATCAGGTGCAATTGGGGACTGGGATCAGGGCTGGATTCTGGAGTGGGATTGGCATGGGATGGATGGAGTGGGATTGGGGTGGGATGGACGGAGCAGGATCAGGAGGGATTCCGGAGCAGTTCCTACTCTCCCTGGGCTCCACAGCCAGCTCCATCCCCTGGGATGGGAACAGGGATGTGGTGACTCCTTTCCCCGCTCTCATCCCAGCAGGAATCACAACCTGAGCAATCCTGGAGCTGGATCCGCCCCTTCCCTCTCCCTGTGGAAAGGCAGGAGCTGCTGGCAGAGCTCATCCCGCTGCTCCCACCCACCCCGGCCACCCTGCGGCTCTTCCCGATGGATCAACTTCCTGCTTTTTCCCATGTGAAGCCCAGGACCACAATTATTCCTGAGGCTTTAATTTGGGTGTGAAAATCTCCTGCTTTGGGCAATAAATCCTGGCTCCCTCCTCCGGCATCCAGCAGTTCCTCTGTGGGAACCAGGAATAGGAATGGGGACAGGGGGGAATGGGATGGGGACATTGGGGACAGGGATGGGGACACTGGGAGCAGGTTGGGGACAGCAGGTATGGGAATGGGAACTCCAGGAATGGGAATGGGGACATTGGGAGCAGGTTGGAGTCACCAGGAATGGGAATTGGGACACTGGGAATGGGAATGGGGACATGGGAGACCAGGATAGGGATAGTGGGGACAGGAACGAGGACACTGGGAGCAGGTTGGCACAGCAGGAAGTGGGAATGGGGACAGCGATGGGAACCCCAGGAATTGGAATGGGGACAGGGATGGGAACCCCAGGAATGGGAATGGGGACAGGGATGGGAACCCCAGGAATTGGAATGGGGACAGGGATGGGAACGTGTCTCCCCAGGAGTTGGTTCAATACAAAGGTCGGTCCCTGGCTCGAGGCCACGGGAAGCCCCTTCTTTGGGAATGTCTGGGAAGCAGGTGTCAGAGGTTTGAAAAGAGGTGTTGGAATTGTTTCCCAGTGTCCCCCCCATTGCCATCTGTGTCTCCCGGGATGGGGTGGGTTGGAGCGGAGCCGCAGGCGCTGGGCAGGGGCAGTGGGGGGAGGGCGGCTCTCGGGGACACCGCGGTGGCCGCGGGGAGGGCGGGGGGTCCTTTGTTCGGGGGCTTTTGGGGTTTGTCCGGGACCGGACAGAGCGGGAGCTGGTTTTGGCCACCTTGTTCTCTTTTCCTGAGAGGAAGATTTTTCCCCATGGGACACCTCGTGGAGAGCGACCGAGAGAGAGAGAGAGAGAGAGAGAGAGAGAGAGCCCGACCCATCTGGGAGCGAGGTGTTCTGCTTTGGGGACTGCCCCTGGGAAAAGGGACTCCTTCACTGCTGGCTGCGAGCACACGGGGCTGCGAGAGCTTTGAACTGCCGGGACAGTTTCTCCCCCCCACCTGGGGATTTGGGACTTTGTTTGGTTTCTTCTGAAAGTTTTTGGTTGCACCATTTGTTGTTTATTCAGATTTTGTTAATAAAAAGCTGTTTCTTTTCCACACTTCCACCTGAAGTCTCTTAATTTCTAAGTTGGAATCTTGTTAAACTAAGACCCAGTGCCCTCAGGGGGAGGAGGAGGAAAGGAGACCAAGAGGTACCGTGGCCACTCAAACTGCAGAGGAACAACCTGTGCCAGTAGCAGTTGCCCCTCTACAGAAGAAATCCAAGACCAAATCAGCTCAGTTAGTGAGGGATGAAGGGGAAGCAGAGCCCTCAGAACAGGAGCAAGAGGCAGGGCCAGAGATAATCACCCGATCCCCATCCCCAGATGAGCTGTGAGAGATGTGCAAAGATTTCAGCCTCCAGCTGGGACAGCCCCTGCTGACCTGGTTGCTCCAGTGCTGGGGTATCATGGCCCAGCATATGGAACTAGGTGGGAGTGCAGCCAAGCAACTGGGATCCCTGTCCTGGGATGTTGGGATTGACCAGGGGATTGGGAAGAGGACAGAGAGGGGATGAGAGCCGGGTACAGGCTTGAGAATTGCCAGGAGGGCTTTTGAAAGGAGCGCAGGGGAAAGGGATGTCTAAGAACAAGTCCCTCAGGAGAGGGAAGCAGAGAGGCTGAGTTTTGACCCCAGCACAAAGATGTGCAGGGCAGAGCAGAGAATATGCCCACATAAGATTCTTGTGCGCCCGTCTTTGCAGTTCTGACAGGCACTTCTTGTCACAGCCTGTCCTCTCCATTCCAGAATAGGCCCTGGCAACCAAAGAACCAACACCCCACACCACAGTGCAGACCAACCCATGTACTTTGGACCCTTTTGTTGTCCTATCCATTCTGGCCTATCCTCTCCATTCTGGAATGGCCTCTGGAAACCAAAGAACCAAGCCCCCACCATGTGACAGTTCAACCCCATCCGTGTGCCAAGGGCTCCTTTGTGGTGTCACAGCCTGTCCCCTCCATTCCAGAACGGGCCCTGGCAACCAAAGAACCAACGCCCTACAACCCCAAAGTGAAGCCCCACCTTTGTGCCATGGGCCCTCTTGTGATGTCACAGCCTATCCCCTCCATTCCAGAATGTGTTTGAATATTTCTGGCACTTGTCTTTATTCCAGACATGTATCCAAAGGAACTGTCTTTTCCCTAGATAGGGAGAGCCTCAGTAACTGTCTGTGTTAGTTTTGTCTTCATCTCTGGTTTCTCTAAGGTTCTTTGTGGTTTAGAAATTCTGCCTTCTTGGTGTCCAGGTCTCAAAAAGAGATTTCTCTGCCAGGTCTCTGACCACTGAAATATGGCAGGCCTTAAGCTTTTACTTTGTTTTTCTAACAAATGGCCATGGCCCAGAACTTGTCCATCATCCATTGTCCATTGCCCCCATTCAGTCTCCTGCCAGCAGTTTCTCCCCACTGCTGGGTGGGCTCCTTTGCCAAGCACTAGAACTTGTTGGGTAACAGGCCCAGTCCTGTTGCCTATTTTTCGTGGGGATGTGCAGGAGGGCATTGAGTCTTCCATGAGCAAATTGGCAGAGGCCCCCAAGCTGGCTTGCAGTGTGGATGTGCTGGAGGGCAGGAAGGCTGTGCAGAGGGACCTGGACAGGCTGGACCTCTGGGCCGAGCCCGTGGGCATGAGGTTCAAGAGTGCCTTTGGTGCCTTTGGGGCCTCTGGCCACAAGAACCCCCTGCAGCTCCAGGCCGGGGGCAGAGGAGCTGCAAAGGGTCCCCGTGGGAGAGGCCCTGGGGGTGCTGGTGGACAGAGGCTGAACCTGAGCCAGCGGGTGCCCGGGTGGGCAAGAAGGCCAAGGGCAGGCTGGCCTGGATCAGAAAGAGTGTGGCAGCAGGAGCAGGGCAGTGATGCTTCTGCTGGACTGGGCACTGCTGAGGCCACCCCTGGAGTGCTGTGTCCAGCTTTGGGCCCCTCAATTCAGGGAGAACCTTGAGGGGCTGCAGTGGGTGGAGAGCAGGGCAATGGAGCTGGGCAAGGGTCTGCAGTGCATGGCCTGTGAGGAGCAGCTGAGGGAGCTGGGCTTCTCCAACCTGGAGAAGAGGAGGCTCGGGGCTGACCTTCTCCCTGTCCACAACTTCCTGACAGGAGGCTGGAGCCAGGTGGGGGTCAGCCCCTTCTCCGAGGCAACAGGCGACAGGACAAGAGGACACGAGGACCTGCCTGTCAGGGGCTGTTTGTCAGGGACAGGAGCAGGACTTTTTGGAGAGAAACAGGGATTAGGTATTGAAATGGGCTGCCCAGGGAGGTGGTGGAGTCAGCGTCCCTGGAGGTGTTTAAGCAAAGACTGGCCATGGCACTGAGTGCCGTGGTCTGCTTGACGTGCTGGGGATGGGGCGTAGGCTGGACCCCGGCTGATCTCACAAGTCTCTGCCAAGCTCAGGGACTCTGGGCTTCTGTGCCAGCCCAGCCTTTGGGGACAGCGTGCTGGTGGCTCCGAGGCTCCGTCCTTGCCTTGCCTTGCCCATCTCCTGGCTGCCAGGCAAGGGCCTTGTGACATCACAGCCTCTGTGGAACAGCGCGGGGGCTGAAAACTGTCAGTGCTGCGTCCCCGTGCCCAGAGCCTGGGCAGAAGTCGGCTGGCAGGGACGGGCAGAGACTGTGCAGAGGTGTCAGCTCGTCCCGCAGCAGCACGATGCCCAGCCAGGGCATCTCCTGGCTCCTCAGGCTCTCGCTGCTCCTGCTCTTGCCTGGCCCACTCGAGCCTTGCAGCCGTGCCACAGGTGCCATTGCTGAGAACCGGGCTTTTCCTTGGATGGCCCCTTGCCAGAAAAAGCAGGAGAGGTTGGAGAGAGGGGAAGGAGGGGGGTCAGGCCGCTGGGATGGTGCCGGCGGGCCGTGAGCCCGAAGCCAGCAAGGCCTTGGGCCCACACGGTGTCAGGGGAGGACTGAGAGCCCCCAGGGAGGAGGAAAGCTGGGCAGGCCCCAAGGCTGCTGGGCCTCTTCCTTGCCAGCCCTTTGGCCAAGGCCCCGAGGCAGAGGTGGGGCTCAGCCCCTGCCCAGCAATGGGGCACAGGCTGAGCCCCAGGGACACCAGAGCCAGGCGGCCTGAGCTCTTCTTCCTGCAGCGTCTGCCTGGGGCAGCCCAGCCAGGCCTGAGTCTCTGCAGGAGAGGCCAAGCCCAGCCAGAGAGGGCTCAGCCCTCTGAGGCTGCACTCACTGCCAAGGGAACAAAACATTGGCCCAGAGGACATCCTGCCCCCAAAGGGAGAACTGGAAAGGTCAAGAATAAAAAAGTCACCCCCCTCCACTAGCCAAGAAATGTTCAGACCTCTTTCCTAAAAGCATCCAGGACTCAGGTCACCCAATTTTCTCTCTGACAAGGGTTTTCCATGGTTCCCCTCAATTCCCAGGTTCAGGGGATCCCAGGACACTTTGGGATGCGTTGGATGCCGTGTTGGGGTGCAGATGTCCCCCCAGAGCTCTCCCAGAACAGGGTGACACAAGAGGGGGGCACAGAGGGGTCCCCATTCCTGATCCATCCTGCAACAACCACACTGGGGGCAACTGGGATCAGAGTGGGAGCAGCTGGGCCCCTGCTGGGCTCATACTGGGACCATCCTGGGAGTGACTGCAATACTACTGGGAGTATGTGAGAGGCACTGCAACCATACTGGGATTACTGGGATCAAACTGGATTTGTACTGCAAGTGTCTGCAAGTTCCTGGGGCCATACTGGGACACATACTGGACACATAGTGGGATCATCCTGGGAGCAACTGGGACCATGCAGGGGCAAATGGCCTCCTCCAGGCAGTGACTGAAAGTGCCTGGGGCCAGACTGGACTCAGACTGGGAGTCCCTGAGAGGGAAAGGAACCATCGTGGGGGGGACTGGGAGCAACTGGGACCACCTTGGGGGCAACTGGGATCCAATTGGGAGTGACTGGGAGTGACTGG